GGGGGGAGGGGGGGACTGCTTAAGAGTTAGAAGATAGAATAGTTGTAGCTTTGGCTCAACACAAAGAAGACAAATTTATCTTCTCCCTCTTTGTTTCTCACCAGCAAAACCCCCAGCATAAAACAGTTGCAAATACAACTCCAAACAACCACCAATGTAGACAATAATTTGAAACTTGCCTGTGTAGAAGTTATCTATCTGTCAACATAAAAAGGTGAAAAAGAAGAATGGGCTAATTTCCAAGCAGGTGGCTTAAAAAAGGTGGGCCAGCATTTCCTAGACAAGAATCATCCATATTCAGAGAGATTATTGGTACCTTTATATAAGAATGTGGCCGCACAGGATGAGCCATTGGACCAGAATCCTAGAAAATCAAAATAATAGTTAGCACATGTAACTAGTCATCCGCAATTCAGTAGCTCATTGTGGAGCATATTGATTTGGCAATCCATGTAAATATAAGAAGAAGGTATATTATAATGATAAGAACTCGAAAGAACTCGTTGAACCTGTGGGTACTGATACGTTCGAAGCTTTGAAACATCAGCAATCCTTTTCACGGTACTACTTCCCATATCAGATGAGAACTCCTGCATGGATCATTCAAGAACTAATAAGTTAAAGCTACCAGAAAAATGTTTGTGTATCTATCATCTCCAAGAATACATCCAACCTGATCACGGAAAACAGTAAGTCCTTCCTTTAAACTGAGCTGGAACCAGTCACCACATGTAACCCTGCATTGAGCTCAATAGTTAATATAAGTCTTTAACATTGACACGAAAGTACTATCAAAATACACAGCAAACAAGTACACTGCCTTATATCCGATTGTAAAAGCACAGGAGTTGATTTCACTAATTAATTTAACTTAAAAGTATTTTTTGGAAGTAACATATGAATTTTATTGCTCATCAGAAGCAGCAGCAATAAAGAGCTAACTATTTACAGAGAATACAAAGAAAAAAAGGCATATAACTCCTGAAGTGTGCCTCCATGGAATTTAACACGTCCGTGTCATATCATCCATTTTACACCAGAAGAGCTAGAAGATACAAACAGTAATATAACGTAAAATTTTACTAGTATATTAACCAGCCATTTATTTTCTATGAGAAGGGGGGATTGGGTAAATGACAAACCTATTGCCTGTCCAACTGTGGAAGTACTGCAACATCGAAAAATGGGGATTTACTCAGTATTTTAAGAATCTGTATACAAGATATAGTTTATGAATTTCAGTAGCTAATGAAAACATATCACACACCTCATGGCCAATCACACCCAATATTGCCGCGTAATCGGCATCAGTAGCAGTTTCTGGCGACGCCAGGACAAGCTTGGAATTGAATATCTGTTGAAAACAAAGTCAAGAAATGGGGCTTAGTTAATAAAAAGGCATAAATAGAACAATGCATTGCAATAACATCTCAAATATCATACATTCAAGCTCTTGTTTTCCATCGCTCCCCTGGCAATGAGATAAAAACCAGGTTATGATCATACAAGTAAAAAATTTTGGGGGTGGACAAATGAGAAGAAAAATGATAATGTGAAGAAAACAGAGAACTAACATGTTAAATCAGGAACATCAACAACATTAAAAAGATCCAAGTCATACTCCAGACCGAAAACCTGTTAGAAAAATTTAACCAACAAAATTGCCATAGGACCATCAGACAACAGAATATATCTAGCTTGATGTTTATCAAAGAAATGAAAAGCTCACATCTTCATCCCACTTCATAGCTGCCTTCAGCGAATACATCGCATGTGCCGTCTTGGGCAGATCTTGTGCAGGGGTCTAGATTCATAGGGAGACGTTACGGCCTGAACGGGTTGTGAATGTATCATCTCTGCTCTCCAAGTGACCGGCAACCAACGAAAAAAGATAACAGGGCTTCTTGAAAGGATCCTCCCAAACAGTAAAATGTTTTCCTCCCTACAAAAAAAAAAGTGAGAAGAATAATTTGATGAGTGGCATAAGGGTTACAATAAAACAACTTTCAGCAAAAAGTACAGCATGATCCAAATGTACCTCTAGATCTCCTTGCTCTATAAGGTTTCCGTTTGACAACAATACAAGGTACAAGGATTTGTCTGCCTCTATGTGACAGGTGTATTTAGCCATAATGGCATAATGTCAGGGCGATCCTAATGGGAAAAACAATCTCTATTAGCAAGCATTCAAGGAAAGACTATAACAGCCAAGACAACAAAAAAAAGGGGCATACCTGATAGAATGTAATTTTAGGGAAACCCTCAGCCTTAAATTGGGTACAGAAATTGCCTGATGACTTGTAAAGCCCCTGAAGTAAATACAGATTATGTCAATACTTTAAGCATAAAAACCATTAACGGTGTTACTGAAATTTGAAATGCAAGAAAGGATTGCAAATAAGACAAATCCAGCCCTCCTATTTCACCTCTAAGGATGTGTTCTTCTGAGGATATATTTCAGTCACAATCTCCAACGTGAATTTGCTACTCAGAGGAGATTTAAGAGTCATGTGGTGCGAGTCTTAGTGGAAATCTTCTTCCCGAAGCACATTAAGTGTAATGTTTATGAGAAAAAGTAACATCAGGTAATATATGTGTAAAATTTAATGTACATCTTCGAAGATTGTAGGAGCACGACTTCGATATAACTACCTTCAGCGGATTGCCATTGATCTTTATCGCTTGCAACTTCAGATCTTGCCCATTTAGGACAAGTGGGAAAGAACGACCCGTTCAACATAAATTGGCAATAAATTGTGAGTAATGGAATAAATTCAACTATTGAAAAACTTGAGAAGCCTCAATCAACCAACACAACAAAACGTGGAAAAAATGTATTATGGATGAAATATAAACATATCCAAAGGAGTAACAAGATTTACCTTCAACTCTGGGGCTGACAGCAATTTTGGAAGCGACGAACGTACTTTCCTCACCCAGTGAGAATTTCAGATCCACCTAATAGTTATTTGATTTAGTCTCTTAAAACAAGGAGAAAAATCCAGACCTTTACCTAAATTAAGGTCAAGAATCAAGGATACCATGTCAAAATAGTAGTCAGGTTGTTTGTAATCCTTCAAAAAGATTTCCTTTGGTGCTTCCATCTTGGATTCTCCTACTTGTTCTGGAAATTAGACAAATAGTCACGGAAAAGAGCAAAGAAGAATCGAACAAGGCATAATTAAAGCTACTTTTGATGAAAAAGTCAAAAGTAATGAAAGATGCAGTATAATACCTGTAGAATTCAAGAAAACAGAAATTGAAACCACCACTAATGAAATTCAAAGCAAAAAGAATTGGAGATGCAGCCAATCAACCAAGCGGGCAAGAACAAAGATGAACTTTTGATAAGCAGAGAGGGAGATGGAGGGAAAGGGAGGGAACAGTAGGACAGTAGAAAATAAAAAGTATTCTCCTATCAAGAATAATAAACCTCCATCACAAACTAATAGAGCTTAACCTTAAAATTGACAGTCATCTTACACAATATTTTTGAAGCGGCTACAAGCCCTAAATAGCGAAATCCCCATTTGAATTTGATTTCCACATAATCCAATAGAAATATTTCAACCCACTCTACTCTGCTTTACTCAATTTGCTAAAACATAAGAAGTGCTCTCAACTTTGCTTATGAAATTTTAGGGAAGAAGAACGAGGAGAGTTTCTTCTAGTGTGGGTAAAACCTGAAAGATAGATTATAGGGAAATATTTTAGAGCGTAGGTTTTCAGCAAACATTTTAGGGGGAAATTGTAGCGGGAACTTTTAGAAATTTTTTTAGAGCACGCTTATGTAGAGTTGCCTTTACAAATAATAACAAGCACACACAGAAAGCGTTGCGTCACATCTGAATAAATCTTGCCAATAATTTTATGATTTGACAATACTTAAAAAGTGTAGTCTATAGTATTACTAGGAACGCTTTATAATTGTCACCTAATAAATCGTAGCCAAAAGTTCTTCTCAAAGACCAAACTTATAAAGTGTTGTCGTATATATATCTGGCCACGCTTTTCAAGCGTTGTAAATAATTAGTGTGGCCTTAGGCCAAATTTGTTTTGGTGATGTTACCTGAACTTTAATTTGACAAGCACGTATAATAGGCTGACATGACCCTTCAAGCGTAATGGTGTAAATAAAAGAATTAGTTATACCAGAATTACAAATACCCAAATTAAGGGCCCAAATTAGAAGTAGTTTAATGAGCAGCAACGACCCAGATCAATTCAATTGAAGATATAAGCTAGCTAAGAGAGAGAGAGAGAGAGGGGGGCATAACAGAATTCGGGTAAATTCTCTTCCTTTCTTCTCGATTCATCTGAATCTTGTGTTCCCTTCCCTTCTCTTCTTCTTTTCTTCTAAATTCTGATCCAAACCTCTCTTTTCTGCAGGTATCCATTCCCATGGAGAGTTACTAGTTTCTATTTCCTTAATTAGTAGAGTTAGTTTGTAATTCTGTTGCCAATTTTCCATTTATATAAACAGAATATCGTCCCAAAACAATTGTTCTTCATTTAGTTTATCAAAATGCTTAATTCGATAACCAGAACTTGACAATTGGTATCAGAACCGCGATTCTACGACCACAGTATTGAGCAATGTCAGAGGGTACTAGAGTGAAACTTATGGATGACAGGCTAGCTAAGCACGGTGAAGTATTGGAGGGCTTTACCAGTGGACAACAAGCTCTGGGTGAAACTCAACTGGGTATTTAAGGAACACTGGAGATGATACTTGAACGACTGGATAACATGGAGAGAAGGCCTGATCGAAGACAGGAAGTAGGTCGAGGTGATGGGATCTTACCCATACCAGAAGCGAGACAAATTAGACCATAGGGAGCTAATGTTCCTGCTCCTAAATGGAAACTTTCCGGTTTCGAAGGTCAAGATCCAAAGGTATGGATTAGAAAATGTGGAAGGTATTTTAATTTGTATAGAGTACCTGATAATCAAAAGGTGGAAGGAGCTGCACTTTATTTGAATGGTGATGCTAAGATTTGGTATAACCCCTTAATATTGAGTCGAGGAGTACTTACTAGGGCTGAATTTAAACTTGAAATATGCAATAGATTTGGGGATGTAGCGATGAATGATGTAGTGGAGGAGTTTAACAAGCTCTCGCAATTGGGCAGTGTGGATGAGTTTTTGAGTAGGTTCGAATGTTTGAAAGCTCAAATGATAAGCAGAAATCCTGCTCTAAATGAAGAACATTTCCTATCGAGTTCTGTTGGTGCTCTCATGGAGGAAATCAGATTCTCTGTTAAACTGTTTAAGCCAAGAACTCTTAGCTTTGCTATTCAACAAGCAAGGATGCAAGAGAAGGCCATTGAGGCAGCCCAGAAGAAGCAAAAGCAGTTGTACAAGAGCAGTGCAAATTCTGGAAGTTCAGGAGTAACTAGAAATGCAGCAGCAACCAGTTTAAAGCCAACTACCTTCATACTCAGTCCGGAAGTGTATGAATATAGGAAGAATAATCACTTATGCTTCAGATGTGGTGAAAAATATGGCCCTGGGCATCAATGCAAATCCAAGCAACTCCAGTGCATAGTGCGTGAAAGTGAACCAGTGTCCTCAGAGTTAGCATCTGAGCATGAGATTATTATTGAAGGTGATATCGAGGCTGAGTTACAAGAAGCCATTTGTTTGAGTGCGTTGTCTGGTAACACTGTTGGAGTAAATACTATATTAGTAAGTGGAATTATCAAGAATAGAAAGTTGAGTGTGCTAGTTGACTCTGGTAGCACCCATAGTTTCATAGATGAGCAGACAGTGAAAGAAACTGGATATCATCCAGTGTACTCTACTCCAATTAGAGTGACTGTTGCGGATGGCAATTATATGTACTGTAGTTCTACTTGTCCTGAGTTCACTTGGAAGATGACTGGTAAAACCTTCAAGGAGGACTTGAGGATCATCAAGTTGGGAGCGTGTGACATAGTGCTGGGCAATGAATGGATGAAGAAGTTTAACCCCACTACATTTAACCATGAGCACCAAACTGTTACCATTGGGAAGAAGGGCAATAGAGTGGTCTTACAGGCTATCCCTGAAAGGGGAAGATTTAGTATGATAAGTGGAAGCATCATGGGCAAAATATTGAGGAAAGGACAGGTGATAATGACACATTTGTTTCTACTCAAAGTGGAACAGAATCAGGAGCAAGAAGTGGTGGATTCTGCTATTCAAGAGTTGCTGGCCAAAAATGAAGAAGTATTTGCGGAGCCTACAACGCTACCCCCCTCCCACTAGACAATTCGACCATACTATTCCTTTGAAGAGTGGGGCCTCACCAGTATGTTTAAGGCCATACAGATACAACTTCTTCCAGAAAGAAGAGCTAGAGAAGCAAGTTAAAGATATGATGAGCCATGGGATTATACAGCCTAGTCAATCTCCTTTTTCTTCTCCAGCCTTATTAGTAAAGAAAAAGGATGGAACATGGAGATTCTGTGTAGACTACAGGGGCTTGAGAGAGATTACAATTAAAGATAAATATCCAATTCCTATAGTGGATGATTTGTTGGATGAGCTACAAGGGTCTGTGATTTTTTTAAAAATTGATCTGAGAGCCAGGTATCACCAGATCAGAACGAGACCAGCTGATGTGCACAAAACAACATTCAGGACCCACCAAGGCCATTATGAGTTTAGAGTGATGCCTTTTGGGCTCACCAATGCACCTGCTACATTTCAAGCTTTGATGAACCAGGTATTTCAAGCCCATCTTAGGAAGTTTGTTTTGGTTTTCTTTGATGACATTCTGGTCTATAGCAAGTCACTAAACAAACATCTCAGTCACTTGGTTATAGTTTTTGAGATATTGAAGGACCACTCATTGTTTGCCAAAAGGTCTAAGTGTTCTTTTGGACAACCCAAGGTAGAATATATTGGCCATGTGATAACTACTAGGAGTGTCTACTGATCCAGAGAAGATTCAGACAATGATAGAGTGGCCTAAACCATCTAGTGTAAGAGCTCCGAGAGGTTTCCTTGGGCTCACAGGGTATTATAGAAAATATGTCCAGAACTATGGAATCATTTGTAGGCCCTTGACTGAATTGCTCAGGAAGGATGCATTCAAATGGACTGAAGAAGCTGAGACATCATTTGAGACCTTAAAAGCGGCGATGACTAATACACCTGTACTTGTTTTACCTGATTATAGTTAGGAATTTATTGTAGAGACAGATGCAAGTCACTCAGGGATAGGGGGTGTATTGATGTAGAAGGGTAGACCTATAGCATATTTCAGCAAGGTGTTGGCTCCAAGGCACAGAGGTATATCAATCTATGAAAAGGAATACATGGCATTATTCAGTGCTATTGACAAATGGAGGCACTATCTACAATATAGGCATTTTATAGTGAGGACTGATCACACAACCTCAAGTACTTATTGGAACAGAAGGTTACCACGGCAATTCAACAAAAAGGCTTGACGAAGTTACTTGGACTAGACTATGAAGTCTAGTACAAGAAGGGAGCAGAGAATCGAGTTGCAGATGCATTATCCCGGAAGTATGAGGGCATCGAAGAAGTTGGTGCTAGCCATTCAACAACTAATCTACAGGCCATTAGCACTACAGTGCCAAGATGGATGTTTGACATCAGCAATAGCTATGAAGGAGATTCCCAAGTAGCTGAACTCATTGCTGAGCTATCGATAGCTCCTGTTGGACCTCACCTATATCATTACTCAGCTGGCATCCTCAGAAGAAAAAGAAAAATATATGTTGGAGCTTCTGGTGATCTCATATGACAATTATTGACTACCATCCATGATTCACCCTTAGGTGGGCACTCTGGCCAGCTGGGAACCTTCAAAAGATTATCTCAAGTGTTCTATTGGCCTCTCATGAAACAAATGGTTATTCAACATGTAGCCGTTTGTGATGTTTGTCTACGAAACAAAGATGAGACTGTTCCTTATCCAGGCCTCCTTGAACCACTCCCCATACCAGATCAATCTTGGAGACACATAAGCGTGGACTTTATTGAAGGATTACCCAAGTCTAAAGGTAAGGAAGTTATCTTGGTCGTTGTCGACAGAAGATCTAAATTTGCTCATTTCATGGCACTGGCACATCCCTATACAGCCCTCACTGTTGCTAACAAATTCTTTAAGAAGATTCACACTCTACATGGCCTACCCGAGTCTATAGTCACCGACAGAGATAGGATATTTCTCAGCAACTTCTGGCAAGCTCTTTTGAGACTGTTGGGTACTCAACTATATTTTAGTATAACATATCACCCTCAGAGTGATGGCCAAACAGAAAGGGTGAACAAATGTATTGAAAACTACTTGAGGTGTATGACCTCTCACAGACCAGCCAATGGAAGCAATGGTTACCACTAGCAGAGTGGTGGTACAATTTTAACTTCTATACCAGCCTGCAGTGCACCCCATTTGAAGCCTTATATGGCTATTGTCCTCCTCAACTTTCTCTAGGCCCCTTGGTTGACAACACTGTTCCTGCTGCTGATGACTTGGTTATGAGAAGACAACAACAACTCCTACAAGATAATTTGAGCAAGGCTCAAGAGAGAATGAAACTTTATGCAGATGTTAGGAGGACCGAAAGGATTTTTCAGGTGGGAGACATGGTTTATTTGAAGTTGCAACCATACAGACAAGTCTCATAGGCCTTGAGGAGAAATTTGAAGCTCAGTTCCAAGTTCTATGGTCCCTATAAAGTGATTGCGAAGATAGGTCAAGTGGCATACAAGCTTGAGCTTCCTGCTGATTCTAAGGTCCATCCAGTTTTTCATGTTTCTTGTTGAAAAAGAAGGTGGGCACTGGGGTGGTGGTGCAGACTTCATTGCCTATGACCGGTAAAGATGGACAATTTCTAGTCAGGCCTGTTAAAATATTGCAAAGACAAATGGTGAAACAAGGTAATACAGCTGTTGTCAAGGTCCTCGTCCATTGGTCTAATTTGGTGCCAGAGGATGCAACTTGGGAAGACTACCAGTTTCTCAAATCCAAGTTCCCTAATTTCAATTCCCATCCTTGAGGACAAGGTTGTTTTTAAAAGGAGGGGTACGTCATGACCCTTCAAGCTCAATGGTGTAAATAAAAGAATTAGTTATACCAGAATTACTAATACCCAAATGAAGGGCCCATATTAGAAGTAGTTTAATGAGCAGCAACGGCCCATATCAATTCAATTGAAGATATAAGCCAGCTAAGAGAGAGAGATGGGCATAACAGAATTCGGTTTCTCGATTCATCTGAACCTCGTGTTCCCTTCCCTTCCCTTCTTCTTCTTCTTCTTCTTCTTCTTCTTCTTCTTCTTCTTCTTCTAAATTCTAATCCAAACCTCTCTTTTCTGCAGGTATCCATTCCCATGGAGAGTTACTAGTTTCTATTTCCTTAATTAGTAGAGTTAGTTTGTAATTCAATTGCCAATTTTCCATTTATCCCAAAACAATTGTTCTTCATTTAGTTTATCAAAATGCTTAATTCGATAACCAGAACTTGAAATAGGCTTAGAAGCGACAAAGCCTTCCTTCTAAATAACTCTTCCAACAATAGAACTAAGTGTTGCAAGTCATAAAACAACAACCAAGACATAATCCTAAGTTTAATAGAGTGTCTTTAAGGTCCTTTTATGAAATTAAAAATCCATTAAAAATGCTGAAAAGGAAAAGGCCGACAAGGTCATGATTATGTTTGAAACATTGGTTTTCAGTGTCATAAAATTGCATAAAAACTAAGCAAGCCATGTTCTTGTAGCTTGAGTTATACCACAAAAGTGAAACAGGACTGGCAATACGTGTTGGGATCATTGTTTAAAATCAGGCCATGCGCGTCATCCTTTGCTTTTTTATAATCCAGTTCTCCTATGCAGCTGAATTCTCTGGCTTGTTGCTCAAAGTAACATTTCTGACAGATAGATGGCCCTATATCCACAAATACATGATTATTTTGTAATTTGGATTATCAAAAGAGAAATCTCTTTAAGCTCGCAGTAATTTGTTACCATTGAAGAGTCTTTGGGGAGTAACTTGTAGTAACCATATATCTCATCATACTTTAGTATAAAGTTAGTATTTCATGTGGAAAAGGAAAAAAAATACGATCTCATACATTAGTTAATTAATCTTACTCTATCCCCGAGGACTGAGAAAATCAAACTATTTAAAAATACCGGTGTGAATCCAGATATTAATTCTTAAGTTTTTGAAACAAAAGTTTATTTCGAAAATCGTGCAAATCATAAAATTTAAAAAAGAATCATAATTGTAAGAACTATGTTTGATTCCACAACTAAAAAGAATAATAATAATATCCTATAAAACGGGACATATAGAAAATACTAGCTAGTAGTATGTAACTTGGTGTCACATACCTGTTAGACTCCTACCACGTATCAAGCATAACAAGTCTAGTATATTCGTTAACCCCCCAAAAGCAGTCTAGCATATACAGAAAATTAGTTTCGTTTTCGTAATGTAAAGCAATGCGTGAAAAATATAAAGAATCAACAGATTATATACACCCGAAAGAAAAATCTCAAGAAAAACGGGAAAAGGTCCAAATTGTTTATTTGAAATGGTTTAAATTTGCCCTCCGTTATATTTTTAGTCCATTTATAATTTTTTTGGTTTGCAAACAATCTTATATTTGCCTTTACCATTAACAGAGCGCCAGCGTGAAATGAGTGGACTCCACATATCGAAATTCTTTGAAAAAAATAATCTGAATTTACATTTCAACTTTTGAATATGATTCCCTCCTGTTAGAGATTCGTTAGAGTTAAAAAGAAAATACGAGACTTTTTCCTAACGACAACTATATTGTAGAACAAAAAATCACAAAATTATTCAATTTCGGAAGATGTTTAATTGATGAATGTTTTGACTACCGACATATCCAAATTCCACCAATTATCCACCAAGAATCTTTAGTACGTAGCCACTACCGAGAATATTTAAATGTAAAGTATGGCTCAATATTTCTTTTGGGACGTTGAAGAAAGTTGACTTGCATGACATTATGGAAAGTGGTTGAGTGTTATATGTTATCATTGGCTAATACTCCACACCATTCAGTTAACAACTTTTGCTTTTTATTATTCTTGTTTATCTACAATTTCGTCGTTAATTTATCAAAGGGACACCAACATCCAGCTAAATATTGTTTTTTCAGTAGGTCAACAACGTTCCTGTTATCTTCTGATATTTAAATGGACAAAAAAACTATAAAATAAAAGATTGTATAAAATTAACTGCTGCAATAATTTCAAGAGCATGAGACTAGAGTGGCAGAAAATTATATATGGATTTGGCAAGTAATAATTCAAAACAAATTAAAGTAAGCCAAATGGACATGCAGAAGGCAGATTTTATTCCCATAGCATAAGTACTCTTCCTTTTGCTTTTGGCGTATATGTATGAATTCTTAATTGAATGAGCTCATTTCATCGACAACCCCACCCTAGCAATGCCAAGAATTCCAGTCTCTCAAAGAAGGAGATATCGATTGATTCAAATCCCAAGACACCAACGTGCTCTCACTATGTCAAACCTGGCCTCCACTCCCTCAGAACTCACAAAGGGGCAACCAAATATTTTTTGTCCAACCTCCGTTGCCTCAAGATCATCAACCCCTTTCTTGGATAGAACAAGGTCTAATGGGCCATGCAATATCATTCAACATGATACTGGATGGACAAGAAACAGTGATTGTTCTCCAAAACTCTCACTTCCTAGCTCAACTAGTCTAAGAGGGAATGCACATGGCCATGAACAATTATCTCAACCATGTGTGGATGAACAACATTCTTCATCCACTGGCTCCTTCAATGAACTCAAACCTAGCTCAGTCAATGAGGAGCCAATGGAGCTTACCAACCCAATACAAACTCATAACATGCCAGTGGATCTCCCATTCTTTCCTCCGGGGGAGATCTCCAACATGAATCCTATATTCATGCCTTGGACCACTCCAACCAACAGTGCATCAACCCCGGCGAATGCTCACATGCAAGCTCCACCCCATGCAAACAATGCTCCAACACAGGATCCCCTAAATGCCCCCTCTCCCCCATGTACCACAGAATGCTCCCCAAGATCACCCCCCTCTCAATGCTCCAGAACAAGAAGATCATCAAATGGAGGAAGAAGAGGAAATGAACTTGCTGGAGTCAGAACAAGTCCTAGAATTTTCAAGTCTAAACGAGGTAAAAGTTTATCTATTCAGGGAAATGTGAGAGAAGAGATATATTCTCAGTTGCGTCCCAGCACTCTACAAGTGCTCGATGGATGTCAGACCTCCACAGGACCCAACAGTGGGGGAGCCATGAAATGATATTGGTTCCATCGATAAGGAGGAAACCAATCTCCCCATCTCAGAGAGTGAGGGAAAATGGCAACAATCTCAACCACAATCAAGTTGATATGATGTACCGCCCAACAAATTTTATTATCTGGAATATAAGGGGAGGGGGGAGGGGAGGGCAACAATGATGTCTTTAGGATGAACTTTAGGGAAATGCTTGACACTCATAATCCGTGTATGGTGACCCATATGAAAACTAGAATGGAAAATCACATTTCCCTTCTAAGTGACTTCTCTTTCTCACAAATGATTGAAGTCCCTGCAGAGGGATAATCTGGAGGAATGGTAATACTTTTGAACTCTGATTTAGTCAATGTGAACAATTTTGTTAGAAGGAATCAAGAAATCCATGCCAACATTGAGGTACATCCGTTTAAAACTTCTTGGCTTTTCTCTTCAATATATACTAGCACAAATATTGCTAATAGGCATTCCCTTTGGAATAATATAAAAAGTATTCGTGATACCTATAAAGGTCCTTGGCTTTAGGGGAAATTTTAACGATACTTTTAGTGCAAATGATAAGCTTGGAGGTAATTTTATTAATCATAGACGTAGCTCTTGTTTATGGAATAGCATTAATAAGTGCAACCTCTTAGACCTAGGTTTTAAAGGATGCAAGTATACTTGGTCCAATCACCGTAGGAAATCCAATAAGTTAATCATGGAAAGGCTTGATAGGATTTTTGTTAATGATAAATGGACTAACATTTTTCCTAAGGCTGTGGTTATTCACCTTCCAAAGACTCACTCCGATCATAACCCGTTGTTACTTCAATTGTCCCCTAAAAACTCTTGTCATAATGGAATACCTTTCAGACTAGAAACAATTTGGTGTAAGAACCCAGATTTCATTAATATAGTTAGTGCTCGTCGACAAACTGATGATCTAAACAAAGCTCATGAGGTACTAAAAGAAAAGGTCATTCCCTGGAAAAATGATATTTTTGGAGATATTTTTAAAAAGAAAAAAATAATTCTGGCTCGTTTGCATGGTATTCAAAATTCTCCTAACTATCATACTAGTTTGTTCTTAATGAACCTTGAATTAAACCTCGAACAAGATTATAATGCTATTCTTAAAATGAAAGAAGATTTTTGAAAATTCGATCTCAAATATCTTGGTGTAGTGGAGGGGATGCTAATACAAGATTTTTTCATATTATGGCTTCTAATAGAAACGTCATAATTCGATAATGTACTTCAAAGATAAAAAAGGAGACTGGATCGCAGATGCAAATTCTATTTTTGATCATACCTTTAATTTCTTTAAAAATTCTTATACAACTTATAAGGAGGTTAGTAAGAAAGCTTTGTTTAAGAATCAAGCCCCTAGTCATCCTTCTATTAATTTAGATAGCATGGATGTCTCTAGCCTTAGAAGAGATCACTAATGCAGTTTTCTCATTTAAACCCTTCAAGGCCCCTGGTCCGGACGGAATCCACCCCTTTTTCTACCAAAGGTATTGGAACATTTTTTGGAATAATTACTGCCAAAAATATCTTTTAATTCCAAAAATACTAATTACTTTTGTAATGGCAATTTGAATGATATTAACTCCTATTTATTTATTATCTATATCACGCCAGATGTTCTATGGATACAAGCTATTTAATGCCCCGAAGGATTCTTTTTTTGATTCTGGGCTGCGAGAGTTATTTCATAAATCAGAAGAAAAGTAGGGCGTTTCCTAGTCTTTTTGATTTTTACGAAATGCGAGCTGTCTAGGCACACAGCCAAACAAGTCCAAATTAAGTCAAGTTTTTGCTCCTTTTTGATATTTTAGCCTAACTCATTGCTTAAGAATTAAGAGACTTAGTGAATTTAATTAGTACCAAAAACCTCCTCTTGGCAAAAAAAAAAAAAATAAAAATAAAGACCTCTTCTGGTTTCAACAACCTCTTGTGAGTCTTCTTTTCGATTATAATCGATGGAATCGACCATTTCGATCTCACAAAGATGCAATTTCAGTGAATTGTCATTTACTGATCTCATCTTTTACGGAATCGATTCTCTTTTTGACTGTACAAGAATATGTGGAGCTCAGCATGTCTGGAAGCACAGGAGAACGTTTGATCTTTTGAACCGCTTCAAGCTATCATGACAATTCACCAATCTTGGGGAGGT